CCTGATGGCCGTTCCTCCAAAACAGGCTTGCTGTTCTCTTAGTCCAGATACTCAGTACCTGTCTCCAACACCACAGAAAAAAAAAAGAAAGATACTTGGATTCACTGGGGGAAAGAGTTATTAGTTTACCATACTTCTTTTGTTACTATTGCTGCTGCTGCTATTATTATAATAGTAGTAATAATTAGTATTATTAGTAGTAGTGGTAGTAGTACTCCTTTTTTTTTTTTACCTTCACATTGAGTTTGTGTTCTAGAAATAGACATCAGATCCACAAGAAGAATAAGAGAAGAAGAAAAACTAATTTTAAAAACAAGACTGTGGATTGAAATCTCTGAGCAATCTGTGTTGGAGAAGAGCACTGAACATCCCATGGATGACCAAGAGAACGAACAGGTATGTCTTAGAGGGGGAACAGTCAGAGCGCTCTTTGGAGGCAAGAATGATGAGGCTTCACTTCACATACTTTGCGCATGTTGTTAGGAGGGGCTATTCCTTGGAGAGGGACATGATGCTGGGAGGGTTGGCAAAGAAGAGGAAGACCCTCAACCAGCTGGATTGACATAGTGACTGCTGCAATGGGTTCTTGTGTGTCAAGAAGTGTGAGGATGGCACAGGATAGAATAGGGTTCAGGTCTTTTGTTCACAAGGTTGCTATGAGTCGTGCTCAATTCAATGGCCCCTAACAACAATGATGTCAGATCATTTATTCATTTTAAATTGCATTAATGCTAATTATTGCCTATGAATGACTGTCTGAGGGAAATTAGATTTGTAAACTTTCATTCAAATAAAATAGACTTTCAAAAATCCAAATAGATAGAAAATTAATGCACAGATTTAATTTATATACCAAATCCTCTAGGATGCCCTTGTAGGATCTGATTTCAACAGGTCACAAATATTGAACACTCTACAGAGAAGCTCTGCTCTATACATGTGGAGTCACAGATGCTGTGATGAAGTAATAGTACTCCTAGCATTGCTGTACTACAAAAAAGCTTCCCTCCTCTTTATTTATATTAGTATGAGCTCATAAGTTCCATTTTCCAATGAATTCTAATCTATTATTATTATTATTATTACTCTTAATTGTCCCTGAAAGCAAATCTCTGCAGAAGACCTCTAAGTGGTTACAAAGTAAAGGGTGTCCCTTTGAGAACTAAGGTATGATTGACCCAAACGGTGCTATTTTCAATTGCCTTATACGCATGGCAAAGTTGGATAGTCCAACCAGAAAAGACAAAGCATTTTGAGTTACAGTGTTGACAGAGAATACTCAGTATGTCATGGATTGCCAGAACAATAACAAAAAAAACTATCTTGGAAGATAGACATGCCCTTTAGAAGGAAGGATGGCAAGACTTCATCTCATTTACTCTCGACATGTTCTGTCAGGAGGGACCAGTTTGTGGACAAGGATTTCATGCATGGTAGGAGGTCAGAAATAAGGAGGAAGACTCTGAGATGTATTGACACAGTGGCTGTAATAATAGGTTCAAGCCTAGCAGCGATTCTGAGGATGGTACAGGAAAGGACAGGACAGGACTTTATCCTACTAGACATAAGGTCACTGTGAGTCAAGCCATTATGATCCAATCTGCAAGGGAAAAAGATTCAGCAATCTGTTCCCACAGTCTACAGCCTAGGAAACATTAAGGGGACGCTGTGCCCTCTAAAATAGGATTACCCTATAGTCCGAACTGGCTCAATGGTATTTAATAAGATAACTAAGGGGGGGGGAACTTCAACTCACTGTGGTCTGTCAATTCTCACAGCAACCCTTACAACTGGTTTTCACAGCTCTAAGTCTTAACAAGAGGAGACGAGCCTCCTTTCTCTCACTGAGCTCCTGTGAGATTTGAACTGCCAGAGACATTAGCCATTGAGTTAGCAGCACAGCTCACTCTGACTACTCCATCAGAGCTCTCTACCACTTTCTGAATCATCAATTTAAGATGCTACCCACGGATTCACTGCTAGAGATGATTTAACTCACTGATGCCACTCCTTCTCCTCCCTTTGGCCTAGTTTCTGAAAAAGTTCACACTTGACTACTAACCTCTTCAATATGTATGCTGAGCAACTCATTTGAGAATGTAGACTCTATGGAGAAAAATGTGGCATCAGGATTGAAGGAAGACTCCTTAACAACCTGTTTTATACAAGCGACAAAGCCTTGCCTGTAGAAAGTGAAGAAGATTTGAAGCATTTACTGAGAAAGATAAAAAGCTACAGCCTTCAATATAGATTACAGCTCAAAATAAAGGAAACAATAGGCAACGTCATGATACTCATACTGATTGCTGTCAAGTCAGAACCAACTCATAGATGACCCATTAGAGAGTTTTCAGAAGCTATAAATCACACAGGAGGAAACGCTCATCTTTCTCCAGCAAAGTAGATTGGCAGTGCTGCTCCTTCTCCGCTACGTAACCAGAGCTCCCTTTAACAGCATTATAGAGAAAAGACTCATTTTCCTTGGACCTGCAATCAACACTCATGGTAGCATTAGTCATGAAATAAAAAGATTTCCATCGTTAAGGACCTCTTTAAAGTGCTAAAGAGCAAGGATATCACTTAAAGACCAAGATAAGCCTTACTTGAGCCATAATATTTTCAGTTGCTAGGTGAAACAGGAGGACCTGAAGCACTTGCTGCAAAAGATCAAGGACTGTAGCCTTCAATATGGATTGAAGCTCAACATCAAGAAAACAAAGATTCTCACCACTGGGCCAATTGGCAGCATCATGATGGATGGTGAAGAGATTGAGATTGTTAACAACTCTCATTTGCTTGGCTCCACAATCAACACTCTTGGTACCTGCAGCCAGGATATTAAAAGATGAATTACATTGGGAAAGTTGGCTGTCAGGAACCTCTCCAGAGTACTGAAGAGCAACAACATCAGTCTGGAGGCTAAGGTGCGCCTGATCCAGGACATAGTCTTCGCAATTGCTTACTATGTGTTGGAGAGCTGAACAATGACTAGGGATGATACAAAGAAAATTGATGCCTTTGAGCTGTGGTGCTGGAAAGGAGTTTTAATATACCATGGACTGCTAGGAGAACAAACAGGTTTGTCTCGGAGAAGGTGAAGCCGGAATGCTCCTTGGAGTCAAGGATTCTGAAGCTTCGTCTGATATCCTTTGGGCATATTGCAAAGAGGGACTACTACTTGGAGAGGGACATCATGCTTGGAAGGGTGGAGGGATGGAGAAAGAGAGGGAGACCATCAGTGAGATGGATTGATACAGTGACTGGGGTAATGAGGGTAGGTGTGTTGGAGACAGTAAAGTTGGCACAGAATAAAGCAGTTTTCAGAGCTGTTGTAAATAGGGTCAGTGTGAGTCACAGGCAACTCGACAGCACATAACAGCAACAGTATTCGTCTGAAAGTTAAACCATGAATAAGGAAGACCAGGGAAGAACTGATGCTTTTGCATTCTTGTGATGGTAAAGTGCACAGCATGGACTGCCAAGAGAGCAAACAAATCTCTTTCTGAGGAAATGCAACCAAAGAGCTCCTCAGAGGCAAGGAAGTGACAAAGACAGGGAAAAATTGTCCCATATACTTTGGGGGATCTTTGGGGGGTTGGTTTTTTTTTATTTGGGGTTTTGTGTTTGGGTTTTTTTTTTGGTCCCATATACATTGGACATATTATATTGTCAGGAGGAGCCAGTCTTTGGAAAAAAGACGTCATCCTGGGAAGGGTAGGGAGTCAAAGAAAGAAAGATCCTCAAGGAGAAGAATTGCCGGTGACTGTAACAATGGGCTTAAGCATATCCGAGACGGTGAGGAAGGACGGCATTGAATGGTACAGGGTAAAGATCGGGTGGTTCATGATCATGGCCAGCTCCACAGCACCGAACAGCTAACCAACCACAAACACTAGACATTTCGACTTCCACAGTGTCAGATAAAATACTAAGAGGCTTTGTTGTTGTTTTACCTGCTACTTTCACACTAAAGTTGGTGCCTCCTGCCCTGCCATCTGGCCTGCCATCCTACACACACTGAGGTCTGCCTTTGCTTTGTCTGCGCGAGAGGTGTCCATCAATGAATGGCTAGGGGTGCCGCACCTACTGCAGTCATGTCAGGACCACAGGTGCTTAACTGGTCTCCCAACTTTTTATATTTCTATTCATATGTGAAATTGCCCCTTCCCCCCGCCCTTCAACGAGAGAGTTCCAACGACATCTCTTTCCCCAATTGATTCTCAAGTGGATCTGCACTCGCTTTACCTGAACAAGTACAATTCCCAGAGGGTGGGGATAGGTGCACAGATGTCAGGTGAAAATTCTCAAAAGGGTAACCTCCTTGGCCCTAAACTTTCCATTGACCTTAATTTTCTTGTCTTGGTGAGCGCACATCTGGAGACAAAAGAAAAGGGGTCTGCGAGGAAGGGTCCAAGGGCTTCCGGCCCCTGAGCGCGTCCTGCCGGCACGATAGGAACTCCAGACAACCACTCAGTGCCCAGACTCCAAGTCCTCACGCCCGTGGAGCTTGCCCGTACCCTGCCGCCGCCGCTTCCACCGACTGACCAGCTCGCTGCCCGTCACGGAGACAGCCGACGGGTCACCTCAAAGGACTGAACGCACGCCCAGAAGCGTCACAATGCGGACTCGGGCGAGACTTCTCGGCCGCACCCCTTCGCCTTCTCCCGCCTTCTTTGTTTCTTCCGAAGCTACCATTGGCTATTTGCCCTTGAGCCGTGGGCCGTGTCTGAGGCCCGATTGAATGAGCTCTCTGCCGCTCGACCAGCCGCCTGCTCCTCATTGGTCGGGAAGCCGCCGGTGGTTTGAATCGCAGCCCCGGTCGGGGAGGGTTCTGCCAAAGTGCCACGTTGGGCTCGGCTGCGGCTGGAGGAGCTTGCTCGGGGAGCCGGCGGGGCGCTTGCGTCGGAGCTCCGGCTGTTTGCGTGGCTCGAAGCGAGCAGGCAAGCCGTCCGCGGCGTGCGCTGAGGGGCTGGTGGGGAGCTCCGGTGAGGGGGCGGCAGAGCTTGGGCGGCGGCGCGTCCCGCCCGCCCGAGGACGGCTCTGGCTGAGGGCGGAGGGCCGGGGACAGCGGCTGAGGCGGGACGTCGGCGGCGGGGACTGCTGCCCCCGAAAGACTCGGCCGAGATGCTGGCGGAGAACCTGGTGGAGGAGTTCGAGCTGAAGGAGGACGAGCCGTGGTACGACCACCGAGACCTCCAGCAAGGTGAGGGCGAGGTCGCCGCGGGCGGCGGCCGGATGGAGACGCAGGCTCCGCTGCGCAGAGAGGCTGTGGGGCTCCCGGCTGCTCCCGGAACTGTGACGGAGTTGCCTGGGTGCTGGGGGGTCGGCTCCCCGTGCGGGGCGGGGGAACCGGCCGCGCCCCTCCCGCGCACTGGGGCTCTGCGCGGCCCGGGTTTGCGCGGTGATCGCGCTGCGCTCTGTGCCCCGCGCGGCTGCAGCGCTGGCGGTCAATTATCACATTTAACCCCCCCCCCGAGG